AACATGGACAGACAGCTCTCCTTATCAAAGTAGAGTGAGACACGGACAGACAGCTCTCCTTATCAAAGTAGAGTGAGACACGGACAGACAGCTCTCCTTATCAAAGTAGAGTGAGACACAGACAGACAGCTCTTCCCATTTAGATCAGGACACCTGTAATTCCACCAGGGATGTAAGAGCAGGACTATCAGCATGACACAAATACCACACACAATTCTGATACCCAACTTACAAACTGTACTTTTAAGCAGCTTTACAAAACAAATCCACACACACCATAGGTACAACAATTAAAATGTGATTCTATTAGTTATACTTAATTATAGTTTCAAATTTCTGAACGTGATTTTATACATTTTAAACAGTAATATATTCAAGAAGTCTTACATTAAGCTGCTAGATTATTACCCAGCTCTCATACTGTTCTATTTTTTTATATGCTCAGAGACATCTCCGTTCAATTCATTAACCTGACAAAACTTTGTCATATACTGCCCATCCCGTAACATAAAACGATGTTGCTCGTTTTTGAACTCGACATTTATACATAACTGTCATGAATGATGTAAAAGACCTTAAAGAAACACAAATTCATTAAAATAAACCCAGTTTGCATTTTAAAAACAAACGCGTAGTGTTCTGCAATCTTAGTTCAGCCGATATAATAAAAGGAATTTGCAGCACTGTAGTTTAACTCTATGTGATGACCACTGTGAAGCGGAGGTGCCGGGATGAGCTGGCGGGGAGCGGGCCCTGCATCACGGCTTAGCCAGCACTGACAGTAGCTCCCCCAGCTTACTCCACACCGCCTCCCCGGCCCCTGGGTTACCCAACACCACCTCCTCCCAGCCTTATAATAATGTCATTATGGGGCTTACTCTCAAGGCAGGGGAAAAGGAGACAGTAGGAGTTCGCTCCCACACATCACGCACTTCAGCGACTCCGACGGCTTACGAGCACGGGTTTATCGACAGAGGCAGAAAAGGTGACTTACCTGCGGTCCGGAGGCCGAAGCTGTACGGTGTTTGTTTCAGGAAGCCATCGAACAGCTGGCGTCCCCACTTCCGCGTCGAGGTGGACAGCGCATGCGCGTTCCGCTCCGTACGCCCACACGTGTCAGCTGTATCTAAAGCACCTCGCTTGTCGTATAGGCGGCCTTCGTAACTATGGGCTGGTTTGGGCGGTTATGTACTGGTTATATATATATCACTACACCCCTCCTGAATATAGCTGAAGATTAACATATCAACTGATGTAGTTTGATTCTAAAATATGTTGACGTGTATAGTTTTAACCACTGAAAATAATCCTAAAATATCGCGGCATTCTGAACAAGATACCCCACGTGCAATTCACCGTCAGCGTAAAACTGCCGATCAAACTCCCCATTCCTCCAACGAAGATTCCACTGTAAAAGCACGATATTCCAGCATTGGCAGTATGCTAAACAGTAGACTGGCTGTGTTCCCAGAATGCAGAGTTCATACAAATATTTACTATTTAACGAGACTTTTCCCATTGAAAGCTGAGGCATACCAGTAATCCCTGTCTTGCTTGGAGGTTTGGAATGCCATCAGGCACCTTGTTAGGTGTGAAGTGTTGCAGCTGCATGGGGTTTTGGTTATATGAATCACACTTCGCTGTGGGAGGTAGTGTGTCACTGGTGCCAAAAAGAACTCGCACACAATAACTTGTACATCGACACAATGCATAAGGGCTGTATCACACATACTTAGAAAAACAGCCTGTACTATAAAGCTAACAGTGCACATGACAGACTATATGGTGTAAAATACACTTTAACAGTGCACTTCTAATCGCATCTCCCTTAAAGAGCCCTAACCAATAGCCCTAACCACAACCAGGACTGATACTCTTCATAGGCCTGGATCTACAGGCTGAGGTAGATATAGAATACCTGGGTTGCCAACTTTGGTTAGCTGGCTGGCGTGAGAATTTCGAAACAAGTCTACACATCCATGTACATGTATGTAACAGTTCTACTACCTTGTAAATAGTAGGGTTTGCAAACTACCCCAACACTTCTCATGTAGCTAATTTTAGGTTTATAATGGAATGATATAGATTCACCGTAAGATTTCTTATGCGTAAGAGTCAGAGAGTGAGTGCCACGCCAGATGCACGAGAATTGGCAACCCTAGAATACCAGCTGGTGCTCACCCAGGGGAGGCTCGTTCTTGGACAGACTGCATCACAACAATCGTGGCTGTATCACCCGTGACTGAAGATGGGTGAGTCTGAGCAGCAAAAGCCGTAAGATCTGGCAGAGTTTGTTTTGTGCTACTTTCACAGCAATGAAATGACTTCCTGTTCTGACTCCCGCACCCTTGCATTCCAAGCTCTACCATAAAAACAGGGGTGGTGAGTGAAACAGCTTAGATTGTAACACACAGTGTTAAAACATGCCACCTGGTTTATTTTTTATTTAACAGCAAAACAACTCATTAAAAACTGGCATCAAAAAAAAAAAAAATATATGGCAAGTTACTGGCTTCATCCATGTTTTTTTATCCCAAAACATTCCAAACATCCACACACTAGTCATTTTATTGCATTCATGTGTTGTTAATGAGACAATAAACAGCTGTGCTGCTAACAGAATCTGCCTGCTCCTTTCATCCAAGGCTGGATTTACACCAAGACAAAGATGGGATGTATCCAAATAAAGAAATACATAAAATACCCTAAAGTTACTGTCAAATAGAGGTATGCATATTAATTATTAAAGTGCATTTTAGAGAAAAACCTAAACGCAAAGAAATCTTTAAAAAGTAGGTGACTCAGGCTGTCCCTATGCACCATTTGTCATGCTACAGTTTCAGCCATGTGCCAGATACATTACAGAGTTGATTTATGAAAGCAGGGTGGGGTCACCCCATGGAGACAGGGAGGACCAAGAACTCAGAGGGGCAGTGTCACACCTTAGAAATGGGGAGAGGCACAGACTCGGAGGGCTAGAGTCACATCATAGGGGTAGGGTGAGGCACTGACTCAAGAGGGGCAGAGTCACACCTCACACATGATAGAGACAGGGCAGAGCAGGGACTTGGAAGGGCAGAGTCTCACCTTAGAGAGGGAGAGAGGCACAGACTCAGAGGGGCAGAGTCTCACCTGAGAGAGGGTAAGAGGCACAGACTCAGAAGGGCAGAGGCACACCTTAGACACAAGGAGAGGCACAGACTTAGAGGGGCAGAGTCTCACCTTAGAAACAGGAAGGAGCACAGACCCAGATGGGCAGAATCACACCATGGGGTAAGGTGGGGCACGGACTCATCAAGGAACAGAATCACACTTTACAAGGGGCACGGATTCAGTTGGTAAAGAAACCGCTGGTTGGTGTCAAATTGTTTAATTTTGTGTCCATGTATGAGGCTCCCACAAAGGGACTCAAGTGCAGCAGCCTCAGATTTTAGGAAGCTTGGGGGCGCTGACGACGGGGAGGCTGTCCTGCAGAACGCGGCGACCCATGCCCTTGTAGTCAAAGCTGCAACCATGGGCCTCTGGATAACGGTGCGATGCACAGAAATTGTTACCGCACCTGCAGGGACAAGCCATTGACAGCAGGTCAGCCGCAGATGCAAGCGTGTGGGCATCTGCCTCTCATCCTTCCCAACAAAACCTTCAACAATCAAGCTACGATACTAACGAAATCATAAACAGCGTCGTTATGGATACTAGTGGAGAAAATAACTATATTGTATTGTACTGTTTTCACTAAGCTGGCAGATCTGCTGGAGACCTATAGGGGTCTTTCTGCACCACGCCACCCCACATCCTGGGGTTAGCACGCACCGTCAGTGTAACCCTCAGCTGGCTCTGCATTCCTCCATTACCAGCTGCTAGATACAACAAATAGCTTTTATCTCATCTCTCAGTATTAATGCATAAAAGTTTCTTGTGAACCCTGATGAAGTCTCCAGAAAACTCTAGGTCAGACTGGGGCTAAAGGAGATATTTTACTGGCCTGTACAATCATTAAAATAAAAAAATAATCTGAAAAGGTATATGTTAAGTCCCATGAATAATCACAAATTAACTGTTAATTAAATTACTTCCATTCCGGCACGCAAAAACGAGTCTCTTCAAAAAAATACTCATTCAAAATGTCAATCTTTTTAAAAAGAATGGATATCAAAAACATCTAATGGATCTTCTATTGTAGCTTTCATGGGGCATTAAAATAACCATCAATAATGTCCCCTACTAACACAGTCTTATTTGGGCCTCCACAGTAATCGTGCAGCTGGAGTGGGCAGGAGGGGGCTCTGGAAAGGGGGCACACCTGCACTCGTAGCTGGACGCTAATCCGGTTCTCTTCCCGCACATGGAGCAGTGCTTGGAGTTCTTCTTCTTGGGAGCTGCCGGGGTCTTCACCGGCGGCAAACTGCACGACAGGGCGCCTGGGGGACAGAAGTTCTCACTTCAGGCCACAAACTTACGGCTGCGACCTGCCCTGCAGACCTGGGTGCCATGCCTGTACACTCTTCTTCCAGGTGTACTTCACTTACTCATCTGAGTCATGCAGTTTATGGTTAATGGCTTTGTGGTTCCTCAATATCCTCCAGCATCGTGATATTGTGACATTGTGCTGCACCATAGATTAAATCAGACCCTCCAACTGACAGCAAAGATCAGTGCAGCTCCCCCCCCCCACTCTGCCCCCTGCCAGGTTAAACCCCACCTCTGGGGCACCTGCATCCATCCAGGAAGGCAACTTTCCAAGGAGGTCTGGGTACAGCTGTCTGTTAACTGTGAATTGCAGCCAGGAAAGAGTGATCAGATTCAAATACGTCTGAAATATGAGTATTTGGTTGTTGTGGCTTTGGGCACTGTGTTCTGAAACCTTTGCCACATTCAGGTAGCATGATCATCATGTAATACTATTTCTTTTCCAACCTGGTCCTTGGGGACCCTCAGGCAGTCCACATTTTTCTCCCTCCCAGTTTCCGGTAGGAGCAACAACTTGGACTGTCTTGGGGTCCCTGAGAACCAGATTGGGAGACACTGACTTAATCTATGGAACTTAACAACATACTGCGGCTCTGAGAGACCTCCAGGGCAGGAGCAGCCGACCCCCCAACTAAGGAGGCTGGTTCTGCCTGCAAGCATCCCGTTCTCAGAAGCCATCACTTACTTTATCCTTTGATAATGGGTGTTTCATGTGTAACTGCACTGTGGTGACTTTGTGCTCTGTGGCTGCAGTAACTCACCTGTTCTTCTCACTGGGCCAGAAGGAACTCCGCAAGGACCTCGGGCACATCCAGGCTGCAGAGCATCAGAGCAGAATTAGGGAGGGTGGCCCTCCTACCCGGCCTCAGGTATATGGGTGTGTGAAGAAGTGACCTCGCTTGGGCCAGTAGGGACCTGCCAGGGTGGTCTAGCCCTGATCTGTGTATATGGTTGCGTATCAGCCAGGTCTATCGAGCATTAGACCGGACATATCACCTGTCGTGAATGTGTGTATTTGTGCAACAAAGTCGAGACTCACCACGGACATTTGTGCGGCCTCTACAGTGGACACCTTCCTCAACAGGCTCCCCGTGGTCCCCTGATTCGGACACAGCGATATCTGGCCCGTCACCTCAGAAAAGTCCTGGCCTCCGTTCCCAGGAATGACTACTGCCTGCAGGGGGCCCCCTTGGATGCACTCGAGGTGGGCGCCACGGGAGGCGGGAACAATCGGCTCTGAGGGAAGGTGGAGGGGAGGGAGCTTGCAGCGCTCAGCACCTATTGGTTGGGTCTCCGGGGAGGCCACACCCCCGGGAAGCAGTGGCAGCAGGGAGGCTGCACCACTAGGGGTCTGGGTTGAATTGGCCAGGCTGGGTGCTGAGCTGTCCAAGCAGAGAGGTTCTGGTTGCTGAAGGGCCAGTGGGTCCATCAGAACTGAATCATCTATCACCTGCACTTTGGACTCCTCCCCTGGTGAGCTACCCAGTATAGGTCGTTCGGGGAAGACTCTGTCCTTCAGCAGTTTGGAGGTGTCCACCTCCAGCTGGGACATCTTAGACGAAGTCTGCGTCTGACCGAGGAAAGGGCATTCCCAAGCAACTGAGGCATGTGTTGAAGGTGGGCCCCCAGCAGGGGGCAGTAGCTGGCCAATTTGGGGAAGTACAGGGAACAGGCGAGGGATAAAGGTACTGCTGCAGGGTGAGGGTCCCTCTGGAGGATGGGCTCTCAGCTTTGCAGTCTTTGCAGTCCAGAAAACACAAAGAGGTCACAGGAATATACAAATGAGTGGTTAACAGGTTCAATGTGACTTTATGGGTCTGTGGCTGCACTGCCGGACTGTTCAGGGCGCTGACTGACATTCATCATTAATAAATAAGAAACATGAAACCCAAACTCTGCAGCATACTGAAATGCCATGAGGCTCCTACAGAACTGACCCGGCAGCACCGACATGGACCATAAACGCGGAGGTACACAGCACTTCCAGCCCTACCTTCCTGCTAAGGTTCATGTTCTCCATCTTGGCCTTCAGCTGTTTCATTTTCTTCATGGTGACAGTGTTTTCCAAGGTCTGCTGAGCTGCTGTAGGGCTTTCGATCTCCCCGTCCTCCTCTGCCTTCTCCGTGTAGAGGTTATACACAGAACCAGTGCTAAAAGCATCCACACAGAGCATTCTTTTATAGGTGTGGCTATGCTTGTCACAATACTGTGCATGTGGTGATAAACTGTAAGGTGTGACTCTGATCTCAGCCTCAGCTCCTGTGTAAATGTCCTATTTCTTTGATATTTTTAGTAAGATTGCATTTTTATTTTCATCAATCACAGGTACAAAAAAAAATGAAAAGGGCCTGAAACAAAAGTCTTTCAATTCTTACTTGGGAGATATTCTTCCACTTGTCCTTGCAAAAGGCTTCTAATTCTGCAAGATTCTTGGGCTGTCTTGCACGCACTGCTCTTTTGAGAACGATCCACAGATTTTCAATGATGTTTGGGTCGGGGGACTGTGAGGGCCACGGCAAAACCTTCAGCTTGCGCCTCTTGAGGTTTTCCATTGGAGATTTTGAGGTGTGTTTTGGATAATTATATTGTTGTAGGACACATCCTCTTTTTAACTACCGGAATTTGCTGGTATTTATTCAAATCCATTCTTCCCTCTACCAATGACATGTTCCCTGCGCCACTGGATGTAACACATGCCCAAGGCATGATTGTTCCACCCCCATGCTTAGTAGTTGGAGAGGTATTATTTTCCTGGAATTCGGCAGCCTTCTTCCCCCAAACATACCTTTGCGCATTGTGCCCAAAAAATTCTATTTTGACTTCATTAGATCACAAGGTCTTGTTTCCAAAATACATCAGCCTTATTCAGATGTTCATTTGCAAACTTCAGATGCTGAATTTTGTGGCTAGGATGGGTTTTCTTAAGTAGACTCTACCATGAAGGTCATATTTATTCAGGTGTTGCTATACTGTAGAATGGTGCACCACTACACCAGTGTCTGCTAAAATCTTCCTGGACGTCTTTTTTCAGTCAAACGGGGGTTTTCATTTGTCTTTGTAGCAATCCAACAAGCAGTTCTTTCAGAAAGTGTTCATGGTCTTCCAGACCTCAACTTCAGCTCCACCATTTCTGATAACTGTAATTTATTAACAATACACATAGAGGAAGCAGCTATCCGGAAACGCTTTGATATCTTCGTGAAGCCTTCTCCTGCTTTGTGAGCATCAATTATTTTATTTTTCAGAGTGCAAGGTAGCTGCTTTGAGGAACCCGTGGCTGCTGATTGTTGGGACAAAGTTTGAAGAATCAGAGAATTTATCCAGCTTTGCACTTCGAATCACCTGGGGTTTCCCAGCGATGACTGTGAACAAGCCATAATCCTAATGAGCTAATGAAGGTCTGGGACCTTGGTAAACGTTATGATACCTCAAATATGTTGGGGTGCCCAGAGTTTGCTTCAGGCCCTTTTCATTGTTTTGGTATTTTATACCTGTGATTGATGGGGAAAAAAGTAATCTTGCTAACAATAGTAAAGAAATGTGTCATCTTTAACCTTATGCCTTTTGGTGATCAGTTCTTCTGTTCACATAACTATTGACATTAATAGACATTTTAAGCAAGGGTGACAAAAGACTTTTGCATGAAGCTGTAAATGTTATGTAATTGGTACACGGTGCCTAAGCACAGCAGGCATGTGGACTACTCATGATGAAAGAACAGGAGCTACGCAGGAGGTCACAACAAACCTCAACAGCTCTGGTACAGGGGTCAACATGCCATCGCCTCGGTCAACGATGCCGAAGAGATTAATCTGCTCGCCCTGGCAGTACACCAGAAAAGCCAGCTGCTTGTTGGGTGGGCTCCTCTCCCAGACATCCTCCTGAATGGCATCTACATCATCTGGAGCTTCAAGGCTCATCTCTCCTGTGGGCACTGGGAAGATGAGGGCAGGAGTCAGAGTTGTGAAGGCGTCATGGATGAAGACTTGCTCCATGATGCTCAATGCCCTCCACAGCGATAAGGGTGACAGAACCGACCTTTGCGGGTACTGATGGGCCCCCCCTTCATGGCCAACACTAGCTTCAGTGTGCATCCGTCTGAAATGCTGAGCACAGATGGACATGTCTGGGATCAGAGTGATGCAATGAGCCTCTGCGATGCAATTATAAAAGGTCCTTCTCTACAGAGTTATCCTGAAGTTAGGATCAGTAGGACAAATTCATTTAGAATTACACAGCAAGTATGGCTCAGTGTGCGGCTGGCCTGCTCACCTGTAATGGTGCAAACGCTTGTCATTTTGCAGCTCCACACCATTCCATATCAGATGCTGCTGCCCTATGGGAACACCTTTGGGTGGATACAGTTAGCATACTGTTAGCGTTCAGAGCCCGGTGACAGGCTCATCTTAGCAGGGACACCGATATATGGGAAGCGTGCAGGAGAGCATGTCATACAATCCACTCCAACAAAACTCAATGCAGTAAAAACTCTTCTATCTGCCATTCAAATAACCGGCACAATCCTAAAACGCGAGTATAAAAATGAGAAATTCATAATAATAAGTAGTCACACTATTCTATTACAAATTGACAATAAACTAACTAAAAATAGTAAGCAATTTTAAAAAAGGATTGTGCAATACACATCAGTTCCTGCACATTCCTACTGAGCAGCACGCTTCCATAGTCTGCCTCCTTGCTCTGCTATTGATCACCTCGCAATGTGTTCGGAAAAATATGTGACTTAATATAACAGTGAAATAATCACAAATGTGTATGAAAGGATTAAAGTAAGTGTAAGGAAAGTGTTACAATTCAGTGTTTTTCAAGAGTAACATTTAACTATCTGGCAGAGCCTCGTTGCCAAAACTGCTGGATACCATAACTTTTAGTGGAATGATTTTAGTGGAAGAGACCACTGAAACATGGTGACTGGGATCGCAACCTTGTCGGCTGCCTCAGGACTATGAGGGACCCTGGAGAACTTCAGATGTAAGGAGAGGTTCGGCGGTACCTTCCAGCCTCTGGATCTTGGCCTTAACTGACAGCAGCGTGTCAAAGAGAGAGACCCGAAGCTCAAAGCAGGTCCCCGTCAGAGTCTCAATAAACAGCTCCACTGTCCCGTAGCAGGACGCCCTCTGGACTGCCTCTGGACGCTCATCGAGGAAGGGGGGCTGCTTCCTGTGCTCCATCGTGGGCGGGGGCTGTGGGCGGAGCCCAGAGTTGTAGTGGGGAGGACCAGGAAAGTGCCTCTTCAGGGTTCCTCCACCTGAGATACAGGCAGGGAATAGCTTAGCCATTTAGGAACATGACGTTTATGATTCAGATGGCCACATGTGGCCAGTTAGAGCTGTGGCTTGATTACCAGGACAAGAGTAATGCTGAAGGCAGCTGAACACTAACTAAACCCAGGGGTATGCAGAACACGGGGAATCTGTGTACTATAACTGGATGTCAATGAGATCTAGATGGAGGAGAATACAGCAGCAAAGCCAAGGTGACTACCCCTCCTACTGCCCCCTGCTGGTGGAGGGCACAATGTCACAATCGAACAGGCAGCATATAGTGAGGGGTTCCACATGTTTAGGGAGCTGAACTGAGACAATGGAAGTGAGGCCAAGATGGAAAATATACAGCAGAGGTCTGATTTTGGGTCTCTCCCTATCATGGACAATGTAGCAAGTGATATTCTATCTAGGAACAAAACCTGTAATCAAATGACTTCTTCTCAAGTGAAGGAGAAATATCATTTACGGTATGTTGCTAGAAGTGATGACCATTATCCTGTTACTTTACAAATGAGTGATGACAAGTGATGTTCAATACCAGTTCTTCATCATGTCAGGACAAATCTGTTCCAGTATGTACTAACCATGTCACGACTTATTTACCCTTATTATGTAGAAGAGCAACTGTATATGTCATAATACAAACTCACATATAAATAATCTTTGTGAACAGCCTGTGGCTGGAGCCAAAGCATTCAGGCTCACTCTGGATTTGCAGCACTATGTGTACTCAAGTAGCAGCACTGTGTGATGTGGTCTCGAGCAATTCAAGTGTCTGTCCTCTATGAAATCCAATGGACGATTTCTCTGCACACTGCAGGTGATATTTCTAACACTGCCACCTTCATTAAATGATCATCCTCAACGCAGCCGTGGTTGAACCCGTGTTGACAACGGCAACGCAAGACCAGGGATGGTCATGAAACCATGAAACCCTAATCAATTTATCACACACTGCCTTGACGATTTGGGCATAAGAAGCGAACCGGTGGCGACGTGGAAAACCGCCAACCGTGACCGAAATCATGCTGTCATGCTGATGTCTCTGGATGATACACACTTCGCCCACGCGGACTGTTATCTAGCGTATTATCTCACCTTAAGGGCATCCCTGGAGCGCCGAGGGTAGAGGAGCGACGGACCGGCAAATTCGCAGGTCTTCGGTGACAAGCTGCATTCAAAATGGTTATAAAGAGGCAGTCTTGTTAATTTAGTTTTCCGCGATGAACGGCTACACAGCTGGTTAGCAACCAATAACAAAAGATAAAACCAGCAGCCTGTCTTACTAACAAGTACCTCTGTCCTTGTTTTCAGTGTCACGGCAACTATAATAATAATACAGTTCTTCTAGCATAACAGCGCACTATCGATTAACGTAATAATAGCACTTTTACCCGATTTTACTTTTCAACTGCCACGGTTTTTATCTACACGAGACACAAAGCAAAGCTACATGGCAACTGATGCTCATTTTACAGACCTCTGCTGCTGTCTTTCAGATTAATCAACGTCGCGGAATGACCCGCCTATTAAAATATATCGGCCTGACAGCTAACCAATGACGCGACGGCTCATGCAGCAAAAATGTCAGTAAACCAATAGGGTGGGTGCAGGGGCGGGATCAGCGTGTAAGATAAGACGAACAGGCGCTACCGTCAGTAAATATCCCGGATGTTCCTTGTCTCCCAACAATTATCACTAGTCACTACGGTTGCTGTCGGCACGGATAATTTCCTCTTATCATTAAGCACTTCCGGCATCCTGTCACGTTTTCTAAGATCTACGCTTACCCGCAAAAGTATACTGGCTTGTCAGTTTTTGAATTTGGTAATCATAAATTTTTAAGTTACTCTAAAACCGATGCCCAGTATATTATATGATGAAAATAAACAGCACTACAGGAGTTTCATATTTCACAAAATATTCTTTAATATACACAAAACAATATTACACGCAAAGCCATGGAATTTAATTGAATTAAACTGCGAATAAAACATATTGTAATTTTGTGGGGCATCCTGATGCAGGAATGAACATACCATACAGCTGTTTGATGGAATACTAAGGGCTCCACCAGTGCTTAAATCCAGTTTATTCATTTTCGAACATTTCAGTACATGTGCTTTAAAGTGCTTTTTAATTAATGGAAATACATTTTAAAGTACTAAGCCAGAAAACAGCTGAATGCTTGATTGTTAGAAGTTAACCGTAATTCACAAGAAAAGTACAGGTAAAGGTGTTGATTACATGCATGCTGAGAATGCTTTCATTGTCATTTATAAACAGTCTACAAATGGTGCTAATGCAGCCTAAGCCCTTTTCGTCACTCCAAACCGCTGACTGGAGCAGAGCTCTGGCCTGTGCGAGCTGTCAGTTGCCGCCAAGAGCGTTCAGTGGGTCGTCAAACAGGCTGTGGCTGGGATTCTGGCTGGGCCGTGGCTCCTGGCTCTGTGGGCTTCGCTTTGATTTGGTCTCTTTGGCCACTGGCTTCACGGGTCCCGATGCGAAGATATCATCTTTTAGGAGAGAACAGGCATGAAACCTCCGAATTCACCCTCAGGGCCCCAGCGAGGCGCAAGAAAACAGCATGAGGAATCCTTTCAGGGTTTTTAATATTTTGCTGAAATAACTCACCCATATCATCATCAAAAATCGATTTTTTTTCCAGTTTCTTCTTTGACTTTCTCTCCTTGGGAGCTGAAGTAGTAGTTAAGTCGGCAAAGATGTCGACGTCGTCCTCGAACAGGCTGACGTCCAGAGCGCGCTCTTTCTCCTTTTTGGGAGTGCTCTTCTTTCTCCCTGTATCCTGGTCAAACAGGAAAACACACGTAGCCAATCACCAAAGCACCACGAGCACCGGCACGCGTCCAACAGCATATCGCCCTGGGGTAAATAGTGACACCTTTGGTATGGGCAGTGATTTCTGACGATCCGAAGAACAGGTGCCGCGCAGCAGAGGTGGAAAGTCGAGGTTTAGAAAGTACAAATTCAGACCAAGGTTTTGTTTCAACCAACCAGCTGAGTACTCTGTGACTGTGACCCTTTACATTAAATCGGTTGGTTGAAACAAAACCTTGGTCTAGATTTGTACTTTCTGAACCTCGACTTTCCAACTCAGTCAGCGGCATCCCTCTAATTCTGATGGTGAATTACAAAAGCCAGCTGCGCAGATGAATCCTGGAAATGCTACCTGAACAGCAGCCGGATGCGGGGGGCTGGGCTGCATCTTTGCTTCTTTTTCAACATCCACCTTTGTGCTCTTCCCAGCTGCAAAGATGTCATCCTCCTCCTCTTCCTCCAGGAATGGCGCCGTGCTGCTCTTCTTGGCCGGTTTTGCGCTGACCGCCCGGAACAGGTCGTCCTCCTGGTCATTCCCCTGCTCCTGGAAGATGGACGCAGATGGCTGCTTCTTCTGAGCAGGCTTGGGTACCGGCGCGGGAGGCTGGGCCTTGCTGGCTAGCTTGGGGGCCGCAAAGATGTCATCATCGCTAAAGGAATCGTCGGCGATGGCCGCTGCTTGCTCTGGAACTCGCTCCCTGTGAGCAGGCCCTGGTAGCGCTGGCTTGGAGGGTCTGCTGGCAGTGTGGAGAGGTGGGGGCAGGGAGAGCGGAGCTGGATTGCTGGAGGAATCAGAGATATGGGCTGCCTGGAGTCTCGCTGCTCTCGTCTGGGGCCGGCGGCGCTCAGCACCCCTGGCTCGGCCCTGCACAGGAGAACAGGTGTTTGTGGCGTGGGGGTGATGGAGGGCAGCACGGGAATGAACCATACTTACACCCCCACACCAGTATACTCAGGGTACATACTGCACATTCAGACAACTTCTATTATCAGTTTCAAAAAGCAGTTAAAAAAAAAAACATATCTTTTGATATTCAGTTTTTAGTAGGGGTGCACAATATCACATTATATGGTGCAAGCGCAATAATCTCCAGGGCTTCAAATGATGGGTGTAAACTGTCAAAACACTTTTCGATACTATGTGGACGTTTACTTACTCCCACAATTTGGTAAGCAGGCTAGTACTGCGCCTAATATATTAATGAGATGTGTATTGTGATACCACAAGTAAGGAATCTGTTTAATGTCGACATATAATGTGAGGACGCGCCGCGTGTTACTCTTTTGGTAAATCGTAGAAACGATGAACACTGAAGTGGTGGTGCAGAAAGAGGCAGCTCAGCAGCCACAAGATCTTTTAAAAACTATTGTGGATAACCAAGGTAAAAAAAAATTTAAACGTATGGGCAGCCTTTTCATCTGCTGGTACCGGTGAGCTGGTTCACTGTGAAACATCCATCCGTGCTGCCGAGTACAAGGGCCAAAGTTATTTTCAATAGAGGAACAATCAGAAGCTATTATTAAACAACTCATTGCTCCTGACCACACCGCAGGAACCACCAAGATGCACCTACAGAACGAGTCCATCTGCCTGGTCAGAGACTATGAAATACAAACCAGCCTAAAAATATTTTTTTCCATTACTGGTCAACTTTTGAAGCCATCAAAGCTGAATGGAACAATACTGCCTGAAAATATCCGTTTAATTTCTACTCATTTCCTGACCACATTTGTTGTTAAAACCACAATAAATTTCTTAGAATTTCCCATGTTTTCTGCTCCAGAGTCTCCTGCATTACGAAGGCAAAGCACAGTAACTGCATAGTTTTTGAAAACAGTTACCAAAAACAGAGCTAAGAGACCTAATTTGTTTTGTGAGAAAATACCTTAGTTTAACTATGCTTGCTTTTGAGGGAACAGAGTATGAAAATCACAGTACAGAATCCACACAATACCAAGGCAAAACATCCGTTTCCCTCAGTTTATGTGTCAGTGTAGTTACTGTGTTTCGCCTTTGTGGGGCAGTGTGGAGCGGCACCATACGTAAAGTCTCTTCCTGCCTGTGACCCACCTTGTTGGCACTCTGTAACGTGGTGACCTGAACGGGGGTGTCGAAGCTCAGGGCTCCCTCTCCCGCTGTCTGGAGGGTGGAATCTGTGCCGACGGCAGTGGGCGTGGTCGGCGAATGGCTGCTGAGAGTTTGGGAAGGGCGCTGTGGCCGAGGAACAGCCCCAGGGAGAAGGGTGGATGGGTCAATGGCAAGATTCACCTGCAGAGAGCACAGACGGTCGGGCTGAGGTGTACTGCATAGCAGCCTGCCAACAGGCAGAAAGGAGGCTATTAAAATCAAACAAAGACATCCACTGTCAGATCCGGATCTGAGTTACAGGACAGAAGACGACCGACGTGAAGAAAAAGCAAGACAGGAAGCGGAGGTTTGGCAGTGCGCGTGTCACAGAGCTGTCAGGAGGCACAGTGAGCCTGGACCTGGGGCATCGCAGTTCTCAATCGTTAACCAAATTCAAGAGAAAAGAGCTTTAGACATGCGGGGAAGAGCAGCAAGAGACCCAGACAGCACAGGAAGGCACAGGAAGATTTACTTGGAGTTTTCCAATCCTCGAGGGCTGCTCTTTAGTTTCTACTGGAGTGGCGGCCTTCTGTGCAATCGAATAAAACAAGTCACATTCACAGAGGGATACTGATGGGTTTCAGACTGTCCAGACCATAAGTCAACCGCATGTGTTCTTCAAAACTGTACTTGTGAATGAGAGTAAATCATAATACAATATATCAAACTAAGACATCAAGACATAAAAGCGGTTTTTCGGTTATTAAGCTATATATTCATGAAACTAGCTACTCTACCTGCTTGGTTTAATTAAAATGGATGTGACTGACAGAATGGGATTTCTTTGAAAATGGAAACCCCCTTTTCTCAGATGTGTACGTTCGTCTTGTTTTTTTGTATATGGTTATGTTGTTGTGTTGTGTATTTTGTTTATCACTGGAGGCTATTTAAAGGAATAAAATATATTGATAACAAAGATAAACAAATATTTTGAGACATTTAGAATTTTGCGATTAGTGGTCATTGTTGACACACCACAGCACAGTGCACGACGACGAAATGTGTCCCCTGCATTTAACCCATATGTGACATAGCAGGGGGCAGCTAATTCAGCGCCCGGGGAGCAGTGCTTGGGGGCGGTACCTTGCTCAGGGTACCTCAGTGGTGCCTTGCTGGTCGGGGATTCGAACCTACAATCTTTCAATTACAAGTGCGCGTCCCTAACCATTAAGCTACCACTACCCACATATCAGCAGAAGCTCTGGTTCTGGGCCTTTTTATACTCTTAGCTAATCTACTCATAATGACACACATGTAACTGAGCAGCACAGATTTTCACTGCTGCCCCTAGCTGTGACTGGCCAGCAGCAACGCGTCTGAGAATAGCCTCCAAGCTGAGGAATATGTACTTCAGAGACAGCGCACTCTCACCTGGAGTCCTGCAGGGGGCGGCAGTGCACCCTCAGTGCTGAGCTTGACGGGCTTTTTTGCAGCGGCCTGCAGATACGAAAACAGGCGAGTACGTTAAAATCCAGCAGCCATGAGGCATTATGGGTAAACAGGGGA